TGCTGCACTTCCAGTTCGAGCAGCAGGGAGATGCCGTGCTGCAGAAGATGAACCTCCTGCGGCAGCAGAACCTCTTCTGCGACGTCTCCATTTACATCAACGACACGGAGTTCCCGGGGCACAAGGTGATCTTCGCTGCCTGCTCCACCTTCATGCGGGACCAATTCCTGCTCAACCAGTCGCGGCAGGCGCGGATCACCATCCTGCAGAGCGCCGAGGTGGGCAGGAAGCTGCTGCTCTCCTGCTACACAGGAGCTCTGGAGGTGAAGAAGAAGGAGCTGCTGAAATACCTCACTGCTGCCAGTTATCTCCAGATGGTCCACATCGTGGAGAAATGCACCGAGGCTTTGTCGAAATACTTGGAGATCGATGCTTCCATGGAAAGCGGCCATCAGGCTGCTGAGAGGTGCCGCTCGCCGGATGCTGAGCTGGGAAACGGGGAGGAGGTGTTGGATAAAGACTGTGAAATAATCGAGATCTCTGAGGACAGCCCAGTGCACCTGGAGTACCCGGTAAAACAGGAGGAGGGGGACTTCTCACAGCCTGCAGAGCAGAACTTGGTCTCAGAAAGAAAGGACACAAAACCCCCAGAAATATCAACAGTTGAAATCGGATATAAGGATGATGAAATCTGCATCTTCAGAATGGATTCTATGAGTGTCGCAAACATAGAAAATGATCATTTTCCTCAGCCTTGCACATCCTCTAAATCAAACTTGTATTTTCCGGAAACCCAGCACTCCTTGATCAATTCTACAGTTGAAAGCAGAAATACAGAAATGTCAGGAAATCCCTTTCAGGCTTTCGTCAGTGAGAATCCAGAAGGAACTTCCAGTCTGGTGAATAGGTTCCAGAGCCTGGATGACTCTGGCAGCTCTTGGCGGCACCAATGTCCAAAGTGTCCGAGGGGATTTCTCCATCTTGAGAACTATCTCCGACATCTTAAAATGCACAAACTCTTCCTGTGTTTGCAGTGTGGCAAAACATTCACACAAAAAAAGAATCTCAACCGACACATCCGGGGGCACATGGGCATCCGGCCCTTCAAGTGCACGGTGTGCCTGAAGACCTTCACTGCCAAAACCACCCTCCAGGATCACCTGAACATACATAGTGGGGACAGGCCCTACAAGTGTCACTGTTGTGACATGGACTTTAAACACAAGTCTGCTCTTAAAAAGCATTTAACTTCTGTTCACGGAAGGAGTAACAGCGAAAAACCCAACCTGAACGCCATCACAAAAGTTAAAATAGACTATGATTAACAGATGGGCGGTTGTGGACCCGGGCTCCACACAGAGCTCCTGCTTAGTGAAATTCTACATGAAATTCTCAATTCCCCCCATACTGGGCACAAAGATGTGACTGGTGAGCAAAGACAGGCCTTGCGACCAGCCAGCTTGCCTGCTGCACTAGGGCTGCTGTTGCTGTAAGTGCAGAAAAGGTGCTTACTAGTTGAAAGTAAACTGAAAAATGCAGGAAATTATTTCATGCTTCTCTTCTGTTCTTCTGGATACATTCAAATTCCGCCCCCCCCAATTGTTTTACACCCCCCTGTTCAAACTGTTACTGACACTGCAATAAGCTGAAGCTTCAGCTGTGATGTTCCTGATCGATAGCAGCTGAGGAAAGGGGATGTTCATATTTATCCAGCCAGTCAGTCATTCCCACCCAGTTCTTTTGTCATTTGCAGTGAAATTATCTCCTTACTTGCCCAAACCTTGCTAGATCTTTCAACAGGAAGAAGGCATATTTTCATTCTCAAGAAATAACACACAACCCAAAAATAACCCAGGAAGCTTTCAAGCTGCCTCTTGCAAATAGAGAATTGGTAAAAGAGAAATAATCAGTATTGCCTTGCAGTTCATTTTTAACTTGATAGTGTCATTAAAAGGACTTGGTCTCAGTTTTATGAATGAGTTATGAATTTTTCTAAACTTCCTTGTTCTGATACTTTTTTCTTTCATACCAGTGTTTTGCACCTGTATTTGACTAATTCCAGTTGAGTCAGTCCTTTTTATTGAGCTGTGATTTCTGCCTTCATTTTTTACAAATCATAGATACAGTGGTGTGAACAATTAAGCTGTGTGCTGTGTGCAGTTTCTATGTCACTGTTGAGACATGATCCTTTAATTAGGAGCAGCTTAGACACAGAGGTGTTCTCATGCTCTAGTTCAATGACACAGTAAAGCAGTAAACACGTGTTTGGGTAGGTGTGTCTGTACGTGTCAGAGGGCATTTCTGTTTCATCAGAAGTTTTTAAGCCCTGTAACACAGAGTCTTTATCCTCTACCTGTCTTGGACTGGTATATGTTTCTTCCACTTAATATGATATGAATAAAGAATCGATGCAGTTGTTAATGTGAGATAATGGTACTTACATTAGGTTCTCTCCAGGTAGCAACAAGCAGTAGTTCTCAGTCCTGTCTATGTCACCAGGGCTCGCTTTCAGGTTTCAGAAGGGCTGTTAGAAGGTACTTGCTCAGTCCACAAGTCTGGCCCGTGTGCTCCATAACCTGGCTGGGTTTAAAATCCAAGACAGTAGCTTTTAATGTCAATTAACAGTTTTTTCTTAGTTTCCTTCCCTGTGTCACTGAGTGCACCAGCCCTTGTTTGGGGTTTTATTCACCAGGCCCATGAGGGGTCGGTGTGTGCAGTATCTACCCCCTGGTTTCCCATTACTGTCTGTGGGAGGCAGTCAGCTGTGCCAGTGTTACTGTTGCCTTCATCCTGCAAAGTTCAGGTGAAGAGTTTCTAAAAACTTGTTTCATGAGGGATTTTTTTAAGCTCTTAATCTGATATTCCCCCAAAACTTGACCAAAACGACTTTACATAGATGGGTGACTTGGGAAGGACTCCACTGTGTCGGATCCTTGGAAGGGAGTGTGTGTCAAGTCTGCCTACCAGGGTGTCCCTATGAGTAATGACAGAAAGGACACACCCCAGGAAGAAACTGGTGTAAATGAGACTTAAAATCACCTGCTTCATCCAGTACTTTATGCAAAGGCCCAACTTTTCATAATCTCTGCTATTACTTCATATTAAATGTTGCTAACTTTCTTTTCTAGCACCGTCTTCTATTTCCATTCATTAATCTGTGTCTGTTTACAGCCTCTTTGACTTTGTGATTAGTATTGTTTGCTTTTTTTTCACAGAATGCTCATACTGCATTTGCCCTTACTGTATTTACAAATGTTACCTTGGGTATATGTACAGGTTTGTGTGTAGCTTTTAATTTCTGTTTAGACTTAAGTTACTTAAACTCCTTCATCCTTGGAATAATTCATACAATAAGGAAAAATTTTACTTCCACCAGCCTGGTTACATGGAGCTGCTATTGCTGTAGTTTAAATAAAGGTATTGTGAACCTATGGGACAGATCTGGTTCAACTGTGTTTTAATTAATTCAGTTAATGTGCATTTTTGGCAGGTGTATGATTATCATTGTTAGCACCTGAAAACGTCACTTGTTTCTTGCTCAACTAATTTGTAAAGGTGTGTCCATGGGCATTTCCCTGTGTGCCAAAGGGGAAACAGAGGCTGCTCTTTTGACGTGGGAGCAGGATTGCTAGTTTTTTGGTGTACTGCATGTAAACATGAGAGGGAGCTGTGTTGTGTGACAGGCTAACAGCATGATTGTTCAGTGGCTCGAGTGTCTCGGTGAGCTTTGTGAACAAAACCTGATTTTGTGCACATGTTCACATTAAAGGTGTTTCCTCTCCTCTTTCCATACACGTAACCACTTGTCCTGTCATAACACAATAAAAGAAATACAAACAAGGCCCTGTTTCAGAAATACATGTGCTTTCTTCTAAGCACAGTCAAGTAATTTTGTGCATACCTTAGCATTTACTATTTGAGCTTGCCACGGGGAGTGAACAAGATGTCATGAACAAAACAAGCTGTACAAGTGGCAGTCCTTTCTGTCCCTCAGATGTGATGTGTCTTTCTGTCCTTCAAAAGGGTCTGCCAGCAGCACTTTGTCAGATGAACGCTTTCTCCTCAGAAAACTGCCACCTCTTCCTTGATTAAAGTACCCGTTTGTATCTTTGCGAGTGACTGGAGAAACGAGGTGCTCCCAGCCCTTCGTGTGGGGTGGGCTGTGGTGGAACCTGCCGTGGGGCCCTCCGGTGCCTCGCTGGGCCCGCGGCCTCTCTGCTGTCTTCGCCTCTCACACCGGGCGGCACCGGGGCAAGCGACGTGCGCCAGAGAGGCCCTCCACC